GCTAGTAATCGAGCCCACAAGAGAAGTACCGCCCATCTTGAAAAAAATAGAGAGAAGCCTTTCGTCACATCGAGTTCCGATTATTTGGCTTGACGCGTATTGTGCATGCCCGGCTATCCTCTACCACAACGCGCTTTATTTGTAGTTTCGACTCCAGTTTGGAAGAAGCAGAGTGGAGGTCAACAGGTGACGTGGAAGCGAAGCATAAAGAAACACTCAGAGCGATTCGGTGGGTTAGGTGTTTCCCGCCTTCCGGGTTGAGGTCCGAGAGACTCTGTAACCGGTTGGTTGAGGACGCTGAAGGATATGGCAGCTAACCGACAGCAGTGGCTTTCTTATTGTCATTTCTTTTCAGATTAGTTAGGTTGTGCACTTTGTGTGTTGACCAAAGAGGTTCACTTTTTTGCCTCCCTCCAACTAGGCCCAAACCCTATCCTTCTTGTACTTGATCATTTAATTTGTGTACATTAAGAGCTTGCCAGCGATCAGTGAAGTGATGAGGCTGCTGCTGGTGATCATTGCCGATGAGGGCAGTGAATGACTAGAACAAGCTACCCGATAAGACCATTACTTCTGACTCGGTCTTTGACTGTTAACACCGCTTTTTTGTTGCACACATTTGTGTGATGTACCATATACGGTTTGAACCCTATGGTCACGAAAACCTGCTGCTGATCAATGGAAACCGCAATCTAATCCCCGGGACTTTGTACGGCGAACCACATAAGGCCCCTCTTGGTTAGATATGGTACTGAACTGGACGACAAGAAAGCTACCTATCATCAAAGTTGGGTGGTAGTGGCGGAGTTCGAACAACGAACCATAGGGCCCAAAGGACGTCTGAGACAGCGACTAAACCACTTCATCACCACCCTGATGAATACTGGGACAGATTGGTCGTCGAAGTACCATCACGATGAGACTGCATCTTGACGTGGCCTGATGGCTTGTGCACCTCGATGACCCAACGAGCTACACAGACTGGCTTTTATCACGCCAGGAGATCTCATCATGCCTGGAAGGTCTGAGGGTAGAGGTCAGACCCGCAAGGAGCGGGCTGGGTTTCGCGCCGGTCGTGGTTGCATCGATTAAATCTTCACCTTACGCCAGTTGCCAGAGCACCGTCATGTCTACCAAAACCAACTGTTACTGTACTCGTGACATCCGCGCAGCCTTCGACTCTGTCTACAAAACCGCACTATGGAACTATTTGCTTAGGAGTGGAGTAACTGAAAAGTATGTTTCACTTCTCAAAGATTTGTATCTTCATACCTCATGTCGGGTTAGGACCTATGGCCAACTTTCGCCGTCCTCTGCCGTCTCCAGTGGATTTCGACAAGGCTACCTTATATCCTCGTTCCTTTTTCAATTTTGCCATGTAGTATGTCATACAGAATGAAGTTGAACTCCTCCCAGGGAACAAAGTCCTTGACCTAGAATATGCCGATGACATCGCCTTCCTGGGTGAAAACACACCGAATGTCCAACGCGCTTTGAACCGTTTGGCCATCAAGGTATCCAGGTATGGTAGATGCTTTGCACTGTCCAAATGCAAAGTGCTTGTAAAAGACTGACAGAAGCTTGTGCCTGCACTCACTCTGTGGTGATCAGCTGGAAGTAGTTGAAAGCTTAAAATACCTCGGGAGCTTGATCACAGCTGGTGTTGGTGTTGAGTGGGAGATCACATCACGAATAGTGAAAGCCAGAGCCGCTTTTGCCAACTTGCGACACCTGTGGCGCCGCCCTGACATCCGACTGTCCCTTAAGGGAAGGCTTTACATCGCCGCGGTTGGTAACGTTCTACTTTACGGCTGCGACACCTGGCCCCTCCGCGTTTAGGATACTAATCGACCTTCTGTACTCGACCACCGGTGTTTCTAAGCATTGCTTGTGTCTGGTGGGAATTGCGTGTGCCTGCCCATGGGCTACCTTTCCTTGCTCTCTTTGCAGGTGCTGAGCAGGTTGGAAGGAGCGCCACGGCGCTCAGACCATGACATGGCGTAGAGGTATGAAAAATCTGGCTTCGGTTGATGCAGCCCGCTTTCCAGGTTGAAGTCTAAGGAATGAGGATTGTCGTTGATTAGAGACACTGAGAGATATAGCTTAGAATAGAAGTCAATGGCGCGAATGTCGTACGGTCTGTCTGTTGAAATCCCGTGCCCCAATACAAAAAATAAATTAAAAACAGCCTCCGAAAGACTCAGTATATTCGGGGTTGGGTGTCCAGGATTGCGGTTAGTCACTCTTCCGTTGCACCTCGCGAAATGCTCCTATGCGACCAAGCGTCTCAAATAGCCTCTGCTGAGCAAGCCCTACTCACTGCCTTCTCGTGGCGGTGTTTTCCCACCAAAGTGAAGGGACGAATAGCCGACGCCCGGGGCTATAATCCGGTTGGTGGACCACTGGTAGTTCACTTAGGGGAGTTGGCCAAAAACCTTGATTCCAAACCAACTATGAGGAGGCGTACGAACCACACACCTTCCCAGTTGTGGCAGTGGTCGTTGACTCGATTGGGCGTCCAAGTGTATTGGGCATCTTGGACGTTTCACCCCGTCCAAAGGGCGTATGATTCGATGAACTGGACACCGCCCCCAAAAGGATTGTGGTTTCCACACCCCGCCCCGCTGCCTTGAGGGTCAGGTTTTGTCTAGCCGAAGGGCCCAGTTATGGATTCCTCAAGAAAATTCACCTGCTTTGGCCTGGACCATCTGGCAGTATTCACCCCACATGCAAATCACGGAACGCTTTCTATTATAAAGATTATTGTACCATGATTTGTTTGACACATTCTGAACTCAGACGTGTGTAAAATTTATATATACTTACNTACGTGGTTTGCTACTCCAAGTCGCGGGGCTTAGGTTACCCGTTTCCTTTCCAGGACAGCAGGTCTTCGCGATTAATGGGTCCACGCAGTATGTTGTTCATCACACAAACGTGTAATAAAAATAAGCGTATCTTGCAGTCACTCCGCTTGTGTGGTATATCCACAGCATCCTGTAATCATCGTAATGATTGGTTTCTGAATTGTGGATCGCGATTTTTATCTCTTCCAGCACCCTATATTCAGTGTTTCCTGACTCAACTCGAGAAAACCGTCGTCGGTCCATGTTGGTGGCTGTCTGACGAAAACGACAACCTCTATGGACAGTTGTGTACTAATTTGTAATTGAGACCACGTGTAGATCTTTTTTGGCTTGTTTGTAAATCGGTGCTGGAAATTGATGAGCATCTTTGCCCGTTGATTACCTTAACTCCCAGCTTATATTTCGCTGTACGATGATAAATGATGATGTTATAAGAAGATATCTGTAGTCTTTCCTCTGCCTTCAGACTTGTGTAAAATATATATTTCTCCTTTCAAGAGGGACAATAGAACGCATCTTCTGCCGACGACTGGCATTAATCCCGAATAGTCTTTTGCATCAGTTACCCGATCGGGCCAAAGATCACGGATGCAGTATTTTTTCGGCGGTGTAAATGAAATGGTTGGTTGTGCCCTCACATGTTCTCCGCAGACCACTGAAGGTAGAGAATTAAGTATGATAGACTGTTGCTAAGAGCATCCATCTAGGACTGATTTATCTGAAGTACCGGTTCCTCAAATGAAATTTTTTCAGTAGATATTTTCTCGGTAGATATGGCTCACGATCAGATGGGGTTCAGCGGAATCATATAGGCCAAGGTCTTCTTGAGATTTTGGCTTACGCAGTTGGTAAATTTGTTGAATTGTCTATCTACATCAATGGCGTTGCAGTTGAGTTACTGTCTGTCCGGACCCTACCATAGATCGTCCGAAGTTCGCGCCGATATGACATCAAAAAAGATGATTTATCAAAAGGCAAAGGATAGTGAAAATAATGATAGAATTTAGACCGTGGATTACATCATCATTATTGTGAATCGTGTTGTTGTGATAGCCAAGTGGATAGTCTCTTTTTACCACTAGCTGCAAGTCTCATAAACGTTAGTGCTTAGACAGCTAACCATTTTCAGATGGTGAATGCTTGGATTAGTCCACTCGCTTTTTCACAGGCACCAGGCTTTGTTGATGATTTTGGGTTGTCGGTTTGACTCCTTAGGATCATCAACAGTGCCTTCTGTCTGCGAAAAACCGAATGCGCTAATCCAAACATTCACCGTCTAAAATTGATTGAGCCATTCGCACAAGTTGATGACCGTCGACCATATTGCTCGGATTTGAAGTGCCAACCCGAGGGTTTGCCGTTTGAGTCCTGACAGGGACACAAAAAGTAAGCACTGCTGACGGGTCCCAAACAGGACGAAACAACTGTCAAGTGCTCTTTGTCAGTCATCACAAAGATTCCCCTCTAACCATTTTCCTTGTATATTGAATTTCCTCGCGTTCCATACCATTGTCTTGGTAATATTTCAAGTCTTTTGTTCACTGTCTTTTTTACATCGTCGTGCAGATGAATAACCAAAACCACTAACCGAATAAAAGCATCAATGCTCAAGATTATTGCTAACAAAAAATTGAATATCTGATATTTTTACATAGAAACTCATGCTTGGTCGCGTGTAACGTCAACTGTTTTCTTCCGCGTTTTCAACAGGATAATCTATTTTTCGTATCGTTCGTGAATTTAAAAGTTGCCACTCTGTTATATTAAACCCGGTCGCTTTATTGGCTACCACATGTATTTACTCTAATGTTTCTGTTTAACATTCAAATTTTATTTATAGATCTTTTTCCTCATTGGTCACTCCTTTATCGTGCTAATTGCCTGTTTCTGTTGGATTACATTATCTTCAAGCTTTAAATACTGTGATCTCCCTAGGCTGATGTGACTCTGCTTACTTCATCTATATTAAAAGAAGGTTCACAACCTAACCGACGGTCTTCACACCTATGCATAACCAATCTGTTGAACACTGAAACTGGCATAATGTTGGTTTGATTTCGCAATTTATCATTTTTTTCAGGTATCGGCCTCGTCCTCCCTTTCATAGAAGCAAAAAGATGAATAAAGCATTATATGTCAGTTTGCGCATTGTGTCCGATGTTCTTTGTTTTGTTGTCGGTAAGTATTCCCTTTACGAAAAACATACGCTTCTTAGTTTTCATTGCTATGGGTGTTTTGCAGAATATCGAGCCCTATCGCAAAGGTTATTTTGCCAATGACGAGTCAATTCAATATCCTTACCACTCCTCGACTGTACCAAGTCCAGTTCTCTATGCTGTCAGTTCCGTGGTGACAGTAATTACGGTAATTATAATTTTTCATCATTTTCAAGCTTAAATCTTCCCGCAGATCGTTGTTGTGGAATTAATCATTGCACACGAGTATTTGAGCGTTAAGAAAAGTGGCATCCCTCTGGTAGGCATGAATCTCCAGATAAATAACTGATTTTTACCCTAGGTATTGTATGCGATTTACAATCATTTGATCGTATCTTTCTTCGGTTACTTTTTGACGATTGCTATCACGGACGTTGGAAAGGTTGCAGTGGGACGCATGCGACCTAATTTTAGGGATGTTTGTCAGCCGACCCCAACATCAACTACCATTTTGGGTTACATCTTTCCGTACACGTGCACAAAGGGAACAACCAAAGAACAAAGGGATATCTNGGATATCTTGTAGGTGGTATTCTTTTTCCGCCTGAAGTTTTATGTTCTGTAAACGTCTTCATTGGTTGAAATATGAGAATAACAACGTTATTGTCAAATTTTCAGACGGCCTCCGCGCTGAGGACATTAATCAACCTTTTGCATTCAACCATGGATGTCATCAAAGCCTTGCTCATATCTAGTGGGGCCATGGAATGAGCATTGATGACGTTCGTCGTCGTGCGTTGTCTTGACAGTTGTTCTTTAAAACAGGAAATCGCCC